CAGATGAGGTTATACTTTTAGAATAGAATTAGGTGTTAAAAATGAAAAAAATATACTTGTTTGTTTCATGGACTTGATTTCTGCATAAGTCATCTTCCAAAACAATATCGCAAATTAAAGATTTAATAGCATTGATTCTTATTTCTGCTTCTGTATGCATTGCAACTGATTTATCCCACAACAAACATTGAAAAAACATTCATTTTGGACTTTCTATAGCATATTTTAACGAATGGGCACAAATCATCTCATAGCTCAGGCCTGTTTGTTCAATAATAGAGCTTAGAAATTCGCTGCTGTAGTATTGACTGAGAGTGAGAAAGATAAAGTATAAGCACAAAAATATACTTTGATTCTGAGTGGGTTGTAAGACAGCATTGCCTTGGCTGCATGATCTACTGTTAAAGCCCCTGGAGAAGAATGGAAATATGTGTGAAAATAAAGTGATGTATATGTATTTTGTTTAAATATCTCTGTACATTTTTCAGGATTTTTCATTTAGTTTGAATTGAAGGTAATTGGCATTTAAGCTAAAGATTAAAGAGCAACAATAGTGATGATGAAAACAAAACTGGCTAACATAAAGATAAAGCTATGTTTATAAAACCTCTGAACTATTGAGGAGAACATTTGCTTCTAGAGAAAACCTTTTCTAAGCTCTCAAGCTAATCGAAAGCAAAATTTTTATATTTTTTCTTGAGCCTAAAGGTATCAAGATATTCTGACCTAAAAAGGGAAAAACAGATTTTAGGAATATTCCTTTAACTCAAGAACCTGAATTTGCTCAATTAGCTCCAAAGAGACTGTAGTTCAGATGTTGTGCTGCATGATAACAGGATTATAACTGCCTGCTGTGATGAAAACAAAGAAATGGCTGAATCTAAGGTAACAAACAGTTGAAAGTAGACCTATCTGTTCTCTGCAAATATCAACAAGCTATCACGTTAGACAGGACTGTCTCATTCTTCATGATTGTCTCTCATTTCTTGATTTTCCAGCATGTAGTGTTTGACATGTCAATAGTAGATATTGAAAGTCAAGATATGTCAGCTTATTTTAAGGCTTTTTAAAATTTCTTAATTGGCTAAATAAAATAATTTATTCGACACAGGTCTTTGACATGTATCCCCAGGCATATACATAAAATAGTTGAGCTTATGATCATCCACTTTTCTTAAGCCTTTTTGGAATTTCCAGATCAACTACTTGCATATGAGGGGTCAAACACACAGGGGGAGTTTTTTTATGTACAAAGTTTGTGACCTACGGCAAAAAAAGGAAGAGAAATAAAAAAGAAATTTAAGAGTTTTTCAGACTTTCACAATGATGCCTACTAATAACTCTAAATTGTGCTTTATTGTAGAGATGCAAATAGGGTATCACAAAGCAATTAAGGCATCATCTTCTGTTTTAGTCCTTATTCCTGCATTGGAGAAAATATTTTTGAAAACTACACTCATTACAATTTGCTACATTATCAATCAATGGTTCCATTTCTATGTATTTTAAAGCATATTTACATGTGGGGTTCTGCAGTTGATTCATATTTTTTTCTGAACTGGTCTATGTAGACATGTAGCAGTGGGGATGACAAAGAGAGCCCTGTGCTTTAAAAATTGATGCTCTTGTTGCTCATTTAGCTGATGGATCACTTGTCTGTCTGATGATGCAAGGTTGTATCGATTTCACTGTTGGTCAATAAATCTGCAGAATTTCTTGCAGAGATGAATAAAATCCTTTTGTTTCAACAGCTCTGTATGTGATGAAGGAAGAAAATAGCTAAACCATGTTAGGCATTTTAAATGTTTCTCACATTTTTTAGAGGCATCTTTCTTTGTTCGGTGTTGAAATGTTGACATGCTTTGAGATCTTAGTGTGGGTTTTTTGTTGGGTTCTTTTTTATGAGCATAGTGTACACACAGGGCTAACGCTTTGTGTTACTGTGCAGCCTGTGCTCTTCTCTTTGGCCTGGCTGACTTATCGCAGGTCACGACTGTTGAAGGGGGTGGGGGTTTGGAAGCAGAGAAGTGTAAATTGAAAGATTATGATTCCACAGCATCAGTGGTAAATCTATTGAACAATCCTGAGGTAAATGACAAAGGTGTTTCAGGGTGTACTTTAAAATGTTCCTCAGGCCTGGAAGTGCGAGACGTGACCCTGCAAAGGTGCTCGTTCTTCCCTCTTCTCCTTCTGCTAATCTCCAAGCATGCATTTATTTGTAGGGCAAAGATGGGCCCATGATTTGTTAAACAAATGATAAGATTACTAAATCTATCAATCTCTATTGATAAAGGTATAACTACGTTTGGTAAACCTGAATTAATTCATGTTTATAGAAATGTATAGAAATGTTGAACTGATTTGTAATAATTCATAATCTTTTTCATGACATCAAGTACAGACAAAGGTTTTAGTGATGACATCATGCATTGATGAGCGTATTCATTATAAAGGACCTTGAAATTGACTAAAACCTTCAAGCATCCATAACTGGTTGTGTGCCAGCAAATATCCATATTTTTAAATTTCTCCTCACAGTAGCTCAAACTTACTATTTTTTTCAATATGGCGAAATACTCTGTAAAGCTCCCCTCATTTATAGACTTTCCTACTATTAGTCATCTAGATATAAAGGAGGTCTTGAATGTTGACTTAAAATGCATATAGAGTCTGCATTATCTTTGGATGTAAAGCATTACAAATTGGATGTCCTCCTCAGTAAAACCATAATCCTGTTTTAGGACATCGGCTGACCAAATCATCTCTTGTCAATTAAACAGGACAATTTATTTCTGCAATGTCTTCCTTTAAACTTCCTCTCTCTCGCTGCCTGCAGCAGGCTCCCCACGCTCTGACAATCGTGGTGCAGAAAGAACCCGGCTTAATCCGTTTTGAATGCTAGGGAAGGTGCCTTCACTTTATGCTCTGATAATATCAGAGGAAGGCTAACTTTAGCAATGCTACATCCCGATAAACACAGATGCAGCAAATCGTTGTCATGATCGGTTTAACGAATCTGACCCACATGCAGAGAAACCACTCAGAGAGCACGGAAAAAGTTTAACCAGGTTTATTGAGGTGATTAAATAGGAGTTTAATCTGGAACTCCGTGAGCTGGTAACCGGGAACTTGAAGTGAGAAGGGAAGTTCAGTGGTCAGTTCAGGTACCGTGGGAATCTTGGAAGCACTTAGATTTTGCAAGAACGGGACTTACGTAGAGGGAGACCTTGTTCGTCCTTGAATCCAGTCTGTTTGGTAAATCCAGAGAATAGTGCACACGTTGGAGGGCGGACAGGTTTGACGTGCATTGGACCCGGAGGAGTAATGGAGCTGACTGTCACTCGGATTTCCGATGGGTACTTGAATGGAACATGTGAAGGTTTTCCCCTGCTCAGTGTAACTCGGTTTTTCCTTCCAGGGGAGAGAAGGTCCAGGAATCCAGTAACACAGGAAAGCTTTCTGCCGGGGAGCAAAGACAAAAAAACTTGTTAGACTCAGAGAAACAAAGCTAGGTTAGACTCAGCTAAACTCAGCTTGGCTAAAGTACCCAAAACTGGCAAACACTCTGGCGTCGAGGTAGTGACAGTCCACTGCTCAAATACTCCTTCAGATAATGATCCAATGAGCTGCAGATGTGCAGGGGGGGACAGCGAACAGGGCACCTCCTGGTGGTGGAAAACGGAGAAACACAAACAGGTCATACAAACTGGATTCCAAACAATTGTCATTTCTACTTCACTTAATAATCAGTTACATTTTTTTATTAAACATAAGCCTGTTTGTGTCATTTGTTTCCTCACAGCTGATGTGGTGATGACCATTATTTTTGGACAATGGTGGATTTCTACTAAGAATTCCTTCTGTATTTTTAGATGATTTATAAAGAGATTCTGATGCCAATCTGGTTCACCCAAAAATCATTTTATACTTTTCTTTTTAATAATGAATTGGATGAAAATCTATTTTATCATGCTATACATTTGCAGTTTTTGACCTCTGGTAGATATGTGTGATATCTTCTGTAAGCTTCAGCAGGCTCTTTTGCATGTTTCAGATCCCTCAGACAGTCTTTTCTGGTTTGTCTTCCCTTCATTTTGTGCTCAGCATTTGACAGAAATCCGATTTCAGTTCAACTGAATCACCTTTTTCCTTCAGGGTTCCATTATAGTGGAGGGACCAAAAGGTTGTGGCTTCAAGAATAGGTGGCAACCTCCCTTTAGCTCTACTATTCTTACAGAGCTAACTAAGCTACATGTCAGCTCCTGATGGCATTGCTTTTAATTATCTCCTGGCAGACTAGCTGCCCTGTTTAGACAAGCTTCAGTATCATATTACTGTTAATGTGAAACTCATCTATTGTGCTTTTCATCTATGATGGCTGATTTTCTTTTTTTAAATTAATTATTCAATAATAGATGACTGCTTGTTCTACAAATTAGCTTCAGGGGCTTATTTTTCCATTCTTGTTATTTAATTTTGGATCAAATGGAATACATGATCACATGAAATTCATTTTATATCCTGTTAAGAGAGAACCATAATCGGAGACGCGCTCCTCTGTCTTCATTTTGTCACAGACAAAAGTTGCATAATATTTATTTCACGGGCCGTTGGATAAACCCATGTGAAAGTCCCTTTCTCTTGGGGCAGGGGCTGCTGCTAAGTCCTGAGCACTCAGCCTCCCTCTTTTCCACCAAACTAAATGAAACCACACTGCAGGGCAACAGAAGGACAAAGATGTGCGCATAAATGCACTACCTCTTCTGGGAGCAGTACTGTAAACATGCAGGACTTCACTGCCGTGCGCTGGCGCTGCTTGGCTCTCTGAATATTCATCCTTGTAGCCCTCCCACCATATCCCATCCCACGCTCCCCCCCCCTCTCTCCTCCCATCCCTCGCCTGCTCCGCGCCGCTTTTATGCTGAGCACAAGACACACAGATGTAAGTTTAATCCAGGCAACAGTGAAAGCTGGGGAATGAATCCTGCCCTTTTTTTTCCTACTAATGTGCAAATCAGAAGAATTTCCATCAGCCAGCGCAGCTGTAAAGGTGGACTGCTGGAACTGTGTGGCGTGCTTTATTCTCTCCATCTCTTTGTGTGGATCTATTTACTCTTAAAGCTCGGCTGCAAGAGGTGTCTGCTCAGTGTTTAAAGGACTCTGCAGGACCGTGACTCTGTTCATTCATCTTCAGACAAAACAGGAGGACGGGTAGATGAATCAAGGGAAAACATACATTTAAGCAACGCCTTATTTTTTTTTTCTTATTTAAATGGACTTCATGTCTCTAAATCCAGTGATTGCAGTTTTGTTTGACCCCAACTAAGAGAGGTGAAGCAACAATGTAGTCACTGGCTTCTGACTTATTTTGGACAGGATTTTCACCTGATCAGATATTCATCACTCTTTGCAGAAAGGAGGAATTTCCAGAGGAATTTCTGAAAGACTTGAGTATTCGGCTCAATCTAGAGCATCCTTCAGACTGAATTAGTACGCATCCTTGAAGGAAACTTTGTTACCTTGGTGGAGTTTTTCCCCATTTGATTTTCTTCAGAGGAGAATTTTATTTGAGAAGATTTTTATCAAAACTGTCATTTAGAAGCCAGGATGCAGGTATCCTTAGTGTGCACAGATCACCGTGGGGGAGTGAGCCGCAACACAGAGGACCGGCTTAACCGCCAGAATGCCAACAGCCCCAGCACAGGCACCCGCAGCAAGTTCAGGGCAGTGGCGATGGTTGCTCGCAGTCTTGGGCAGCTCTCAGTTCAGAGCGTGCCCTCCTCCAGCGAGCAAAGCATCAAGACGGGCATGAAGTATAGGTAGGCATGTCTGAAAGCATTCAGCAATCAAAATGTTTTTCCCCGAATTCTTAAATATCCAGAATTTTATATGTTCACATGTTAATTTTCAAAATGATCTACCTATACGAAAATTATAGGGGGATATAATCTAACGACAATAAAGTATTTCACCTTAGGCATGGTATTTTATCCATTAATCAAATATTTTTTATATTAAGCTATAGGAAAATAAATGTAAATTGGGTTGTAATAAACCAACTATTTTAAAAACTAAACTTTGTCTGCCAAAAGTACGCTGCAAAATAGATCAATATCTACTGATTTGTTTTAAACCAAACTATAAAAATGTTCTACTTTTAAAACCTCATTCTACACATTTAGACCAAGTTTTATTAATTCTGTTTATATAAGATTTTTACTGACATGCAAATTAAACCGCTTTGCTGCACTTTAATGCAGTGAATTTCTTCCCCAAATTTGTCAGTTAACAATAATATATGTCACATATCCTCAAATTACCTGTTCAGTTTTCTTTGGATCACATTAAACTAATGATAGCTTTATAAACTTAATACGTATGTATTGTTTGAGAGAAATTAATTGATACATGAATTGTAATAATCATGTTATTCCCTCCATTTCCCTATCAATCTACATGTTTTTGTATTTTATATTCAGCGCTTAAAAAAGTCTAAAACTGAATTGGCAGGTCAGATCTATATGAACAAACGGAACGGAGCAGATTACTGTACAGGATTTCCACTATGTTTATAGTTCTGTTGCCCCCATTTTCAAAAGCTTTTTATTTCTTGCAGACTCTAATCCTCTTTGCATGCAGGAACCTCCAGGCAACAGGAGACTGATAGAATTTAATCTAACAGTTCCTGTTTTAGCTGTTTTGGCAAATATTTATTGCACAAATGCATTTCTATCAGATTTGCAAATGTCTTCCATTTGCATGGTGAATTATTCAAATTAGCTGGGCTATTACACAAATGCTGCAAGAAGAAGAGATGAATAGGAATGAAGATCTCTTCAAATGTTCTCTTAAATCACTGAGGAGTGAGTGTCAGACTGAGCAGTGGTAGACGGCTATAATTCGAGCACTGTGTATTGCAGTGTTCTGTTGTCTGTACCAAGCTGGTCAGTAATGGTGAGTATCGGCAACGTATCAGCATTGCAGCATATTTTCTTTTTTTTCTCCTGTTTTGTCAGTCATGCGTTTCCTTCCATTTAAGCTAAGGTAATGATACATGAAACACATTTCCAGCAGCTATGTGGCCAGTTTCCATTTAGCAGCGTTCTAAAGCTGTGACCTGATATCGATTTCAGCTGATTACAGTTTCTCTGTAACTACTGTAAGAAAATGTATGAGCTTAACTATTAGTAATAATTAATTTTGTTCGGATTTAGGGGAAACTTAGAATGCTTAATGAAAGGAGTCATTGTAATATAGGGTTTAATTGGGATCGTAAACCAGTTGCTCTAAGCTGTCTGAAGCAGAAGTGCAGTATGTTTGACAAAAATGTATTTTACGGTAATACTGATGAGTGTTTTGATGATGAGGCATGTAAGAAATAAACAAATTCCCCAACTAAATATTGTTAATGTCTTTGGTCTTATTGCAAACACCGGCCCCAGATAGTCAGCTACTGGAAACAAAAAGAAATTTTTATCTCAACCAGATGGTTTCACTCAATAGGTTGTCCATGAAGGATTTCCCTTTTCCTGACAAAGAATAAAATCTGTTGTAGTTTTTTTAACCATATTACCTGGACATCATGATGCCCAGTAAAAACATTTTCTGTTAAGAAACAAAACTATAATAAATATTTTACCTACACAAAAAAAAAGGATTGCATCATTTAATATATAAGCATTTTAAAAATGTTTTACCAACTAATCAGTTCCAACCAATAATAAATGGTGTAAACTGCAGCCCTTGCATTAAGTTTGTCAAATGGCAATTATTGGGTTGGTACTATTGGCTTATTTAAAGCAGCAGTGTGCTGATATTTGGGAGCCTAGCATGTTCAATGACCGTCTTTTAAATACCCCAAAAAGATCAGAACAGAGAAACTTCATGAGTTTCAACTTTCTTAGCCTGAACAAACATGTTTTTAATCACCACACTGATACTGGAAATACTTGTTTTTGATTTGTATTAATTTCTTCAATCCATATTGGCATCTACCGCTAAGACTAGTTTCTACAGGAACTTGGAAGCGCTAAGAAATTAGTCTTTTACAAACATGAAAAAGAAAGAAACTCGCCATCTAATTTTCAATGCACTGTTAAAAAGTCTTCAATGCACATATTGGCCATAGATGTTTTTACATAATTTGGTTTTGTCCGTCAGAATGCACCTCAATTGTATAAATAACTAACAAACTCAGTTAGTTCTTGTCTCATCTTTTACCTCAAATATCTGGATTATTTTCTGTGTATCTTTTTAAACCACCTATTGTGATAGATATAAATGTTTTCCTTTTATAGTATTAAGTCGTGGCAAAATGGAAAAAGGCAGTGTTAGGGTAGATCTGAGGGTGGATTTTTCTGAAGCCACATCCCAATCTTTTGCATGTGATTTGCTGGCGGCAGCCCTCTAGTGTTGTCTCACTGTCATCATTGAGCCTAATGATATTGAATGAGAAAAATCATTTGCAGCTCGGGGGCCAGCGGCTTTTTGTGTTCTTGTGCTCTCACAGTGTGCTATGAAGTGCACAACGGGATTTATAGTTGTAAACTCGGCTCATATCTGATGTAAACCGAAGGTAATATGTGACTTGATGCAGTGGGAAGCCCCGGTCGCTCCTGCACAGACGGCAGAACATAGTGTTTGTTTGTATGTATGTATTTTGGTGGGGGGGGCAGCATGAAAGGAAAATTGCTAAGGTTATTGCTGCTGTATGCACAGCTCCCAAATGGAAGTACAGTGGGCTGAAGTGATCTGCGCTTGTGTCACTGTGAATATTTCAAATATACCTCTAGGAGTTGAAGCTTGCAAGCCCTTTGACATCTATGTCCATTTCACTTTTCATCTGTAAAATACCCCCCACCCCTGCTAAAGACGGAGGGAATTTCTCATTTCTCTATTGTGACAGCTGAAGAGGTTTGTGGTTTTATAACTCTCCCCCTAAAGAATGCAGTAAAGCTGTCTTATCTGCATGCCAAAAACTTTCCCTTATTATCCGCTCTGCACAATTGCTGTGAAATTCAGATCAGCTCAATTTGCATAAAGTCATTGCTGTCTGCTTGAATGGCAGCCTTGAATTTGACCCGTCTGCCGTTTAGTTTGGGAGTGACCTCACTCAGCAAGGCCTCTAAAATCAAAACGCACCTCTTTTGAAGGGATGAGGGATTGCGGCAGCTTTATTGGGCTGCCAGTTGGTCTTTAATGGAACTCTGCGTCTGACAGATATGACTGAGTAAAACCACAGAGCTTGACTGAGAATCATCACCTCTTCCAAGGAGTGATTAAAAGCTTTTATTCTGAACTGAATTAATTATGCACACCAAATGAATTGTGATTATGTAAAGCAGTCTTTGTGAGAGAATGTCTGTGAGACTGGGCGAGCGGTACAGGTAAGGCAGTTCAGTCAAGTATTAGCTGTTCTTTCAGTCAACCAAACCTTGCTGACGGCAAGAGTTGTTTTGCTGAGAGGCAGCAGATTTGCAAAGTCCCAGAGTTACAAAAGCCGGTGTGTGTATCCAATTCCAGCTGGGCTGCCATTTTTGTGCTTTGTAAAGACAAAAGTTTGACGGTTTCACCTCAAACTGCTGTAGTTAACAACTGGGAACAGAAACAAGACTCCAGAGAATTTTCTGTGAAATACTGCAAGTTGGAAATGTTTGTTCAGCTTATTCTTCATCCCTGCTGAAGGTCAGATGCATTTGCATTCTGTGATTATTCTTATTTCACTCAATTCTAAAATACGTTTGTGTAAGATAATGTTTGAGAAGTAGGCAATTATAATGCCTTACATTAGGGATGCAATGTGTCAGTAATCTGTACATTTATGCAGTATCAGTGCATTCACTATTGTGTGTGAACAAACGTATCTTTCAACATGGAAACTTAGCTATATTATTAAAGATTTATCAGGAATCTCTTAAAAAGTCACTTAAAATTTCTCAAAATAAATTGTCAAAGTCATGGGTAGGTGGCTTTGAAAACAGATCAGACGAAGGTCTATGAGTCATACTATGAACAACTATAAAAGCACTCGGAGAGCGCAGACCTCTGCCAACCAGCAAATATTGCCCCATATTATGACTTATACCTACAGCTACAACTTGCACATGATCTGGATCATTAGGAAATTTTAGTGAATTACTCCATTTGCATCAGGCGCACCTCTGGTGAAGCAAAACATCCTTAATTCCGTTCCAAAATTCATCAGTTAAGGGGCTGATTATCCTCCCGCAGCAGTGTGTCGCAGTGAGCTTGTCGCAGATATTTTGGATTTATGGCCAATTTTGAAGCGTGGTCTGCGCTGTGTTATTCCACGCCACAAGGCAAGAGGGAGAATCACAAACTAGCTGTGGGTCTAGATACGGCTGAGGAAGTAAACTAATCCTGCTAACAGACAAACATACACGACCAAACATAAACTCCTTGGCAGAGGTAATGAAAGATGAACAGGAACCCTAGTTTCCAAAAGTACTTGGACTATATTTTTTCTCTGGAGAAAAAAAAAGCTAACTGGTACCTATTCAGAGTTTTCTCGTTGTTCTTGTATTCAATACCAGCTCCTTTCTCACCATCTACTCCACCAAGTGTTTCAAGAGAATCCAGTCAAGCTAAAAATAAATAAATAAAAGGTGTTGGAAGACTGCTGGTCACTGATTGGTTAGGACAGTAGCCTCCAAACTTTTCCCCCTTGATCCCCATTTGGAGACATTTTTTGCCTATTGGCTAATGGCAAAAATAATAAATGATGAGTGAGAAAGACAGTGGTTTCTCATATATATTATGTCACTTTGGTGAGTTGAAGACTCGTTTAACAATGAGCTTC